GTTTGAGAATCCACAGGACCACAAACTGAGAAGGAAATGAAACCACCACCAGCGAGAAGAGGATATCGGAAGGGCTGGGCAAAGGAGAGAAAAAGAAAGAGGAAGAAGAAATCTGACGTGGGTGAAAAAAAAAAAGAATTATTATTTTTAAATTAAATGAAAATGCCAACTCATAAAAAAAAATGCCAACTATGTTTTTTTTTTCCATGTCATTAGTTAAGAAAAAAAAAGAATTGATTTGCTGGCATTTTAACGTGCCACCTGTCATTTAACTGACGGAAGGATAATTTTGGTACCGAAAATGAAAGTTTGAGGATAATTTTAGTACTTTTTAAAGCTAAGGGATAATTTTGATACCAAAGTGAAAAGTTGAGGGACCAAAATGGTACTTAAACCTTTTTTTTTTCTAGCTGAATGGTATGTTATGTGCTGGGGTTTCAACATGCTATACTGGAAGGATGCAGACTGTTTGGCTGGTTGTGCTTCCCTGGAGTTGCAGCCTCCTTCGACCTCTATGGTAATTGTCCTCTCGTAGTTTTTTTTTTCCTTAATTTATCCATTATCTTGTTGTCTTAAAAATTCTGATTTTACTCTTAAGATCTATATAAGTGGGTTCGCCTGGAGGTAAAAAAAAAAAGAAAAAAGAAAAGAACAAGGTTGGAGGAAGTAGAGGGTGACGTGTACGGTGTCATAAGTCCACGTAAGCATATTTTACACGTTGGCATACCCAGGTCAGCTGTTTCAGTTAAATTAACGTGCCATGTGAGCAAAAATTAATGGAAGGACCAAAAAGGGGATTTTTTCGGTACAGGGACTAAAAAAGGGCTTTTTCCTATAGTAGAGGGACCAAAAAGGGTATTTAACCTTGTTGTATTAGTCCAAATCTCTAATCTAAAGCCTCTCTAATGTATAGTTTAGTTATGGAATATGCATAGTTGATATGAAGATATAAGATGTGAATAACTGACATTGTTATTTTAAAATAAATATATTTTTACTGTGAATAATTGAAATTGTTTCTTATTAAAGATAAGATTCAAATTTTACAATATGCACCCATGAATACAATTAAAGGCAAAACCCTCAAATTCACCCTTAAAAAATATCGGTAGGGACACATTCACCCCTAAAAAAAAAGCAGGGACAAATTGCCCCTTCAAAATATAAATCAATACAAATCACCTCTTTTTCAACGAAAAACGTTAGAATTATATTTGTCACGTTAGCATTTTTTAACGAAAAACATTGAAAAAATGATAATTTGTATTGATTTATAATTTGAAAAGACAATTTGTCCTTACTTTTTTTTTGAGCAGTGAATGTGTTCCTATCAATATTTTTTTAAGGTGAATTTGAAAGTTCTGTCACAATTAAAAATTTCGATTTCCTGGATTGATTCATTTTTCGTGATCCTTTGATACGGTGGTACCATGGAAGGATACAACAGAGAACTTGACATGGAGATAGTATTTGTGTTTGATTTTCAGAAGTTTTCTTCATCCATTGATTAGTTACTCCTTTGAGAGTTTCCACTTGTCTTTCTGCACATCCCAAATCACACTTTAGAGGAGAAAATCAGGTGGCGGTTGCGGTTACGGACTCATCAAAGGTCTGTTGATGTGGCGTTGTTGGGGTCCGCTAAAGGCCAGCTGTTAAAAAAAATAAAAAAGGGTTGGATGTCTGACAGGACAGGATAGTGGTTAACGGTGAACAAAATGTTTATTACCTTAAAATTGGCGGAAACTTGGACGGAGGAAAACATTGATACCTTTTTTTTGATAGTAAGGGCCGTGTAGTTAATTAATAATAAAGAGAGAACATGAGATGAATTGAAAGTATAAAATTTAAATTAAATGATTTTTAATAATAGGGAGACGATAGTTGACATTAACCTCAAAAATTACAGGAAGAAACAATTATAGTGGTACAGTCAGGGGTGTGGACGCGAAATTAAAATTTCAAATTTCTTAAGTTTATTGAAATTGTGCACAACTTGATAGGGTCATATTGTTAGTTTTGCTAATGATTTAAATAGTTCAGTGATCATCTTTTCTCGTTAGAAGTAAGAGATCATGAATTCAACTCGCATGACATACGGATATGATGGGATAAGAAATGAGAGATAATTGATTCTTATTATGCAACCAAAATAAAAAAAAATAATACTATTAGTTTTCATTAATTTTAGTTGACATGGCAAATAAAATAATGACTATCATTAATGTGCAATGATCTGACAATTAAATTAAAAAAAGAATACTTCAAATTATTTATGTTGTTTCTTCCAAAATCCTTTCATTCTTGGCCGCTTGTAGTAGAAGCCCGCTTGTAGTAGAAGCCCGCTTGTAGTAGAAGCACTCAGGTGTGCTACTTATATTACTTAAAACAAAAAAAAGAAAAAAAGAAAAAAAAAAGGATTTTTGGAGATTTGCTGCTTTTAAGCATAGGAATTTATGAAAAAGTTAATGAAAAAACGTTATTTGATTGAAAAAAATGTTAGAAATCTTAAAAATATTTGGAATTAATTAAAAGCTAAGAATACTAGTAGAAATGAACTAAAGAGTGAGACATAAATGTAAAAGTTACATTAACGACCTGTTGATCTGAGTAAAAGGAGTTCGGTTTCTTTTAAGTAAAATCTCGGTGTTGAGTTTTGTGTTGGTCCATTAATCACGATTCATGATAAGAAAGCATAAATCACTTAATTCTTACTAAAATAAATAAGACATCACTTAACTCTCTCGTATTCCTTAACTTGTTTCACTTATATGTTATACGACTTAAATTCAAAATATATTACTTTGAGTATAAAAAGATTATTATTAAATTATTTAAATTATTGGTTATGTAATTAAGAAATTATTATAATCCTTATTTTCTTATAAATCAGCTTGAAATTAATGAAAAAGTTCGTTTATTGTTAAGTGATATGACACAAAATATGTGAACTAATTAATTTGTTATTTCATCTTTTATTCCTTTGTGGTATTTATATTCAAGCTTGAGTTAATGGACTCTTTCTGTTGCACAAGTCACGTTAGTGCATTAATCACTTTACTTTTACTAAAATAAAAAAGACAAGGCTTGTTTGCGTAATGTAATGCTATAATTATAATATTACATAAGATTATTGTATTAAATAAAAATATAATATGTTATTAAATAAATAGATATATATATGATATTATGAATAGATTTTTAAATAAAAAATTAATTATATCATAATATCTCATATTATAATATTATAATATCACATAATATTAAAATTATAATATTTTCAATTTGAGAAATTATTT